AGAGAGGAAGCCATGAGGGTTAGAGGGAGAGATGAAGCCGTGATGGTTAGAGGGAGAGAGAAAGCCGCGATGGTTATTGAGAGAGAGAGGAAGCCGTGATGGTTAGAAGGAGAGAGGAAGCCATGAGGGTTAGAGGGAGAGATGAAGCCGTGATGGTTAGAGGAAGAGAGAAAGCCGCGATGGTTATTGAGAGAGAGAGGAAGCCGTGATGGTTAGAAGGAGAGAGGAAGCCATGTTCGTTAGAGGGAGAGTGGAAGCCGTGATGGTTAGAGGGAGAGAAGCCGTGTTGGTTAGAGGGAGAGAGANGACAATCCGTCGCACAGACAATCTGTCGTATAGACAATCCGTCGCACAGCCTGGTCGGGCTATATGTCCCCCAGAGTACTGCCGGAACGTACCCTGGGTACGGTCCGGTATACCGGAACGTACCCTGGTACTATCTAATATGCCGGACCGTACCTCGCCTACTCCACTAACGAGTTTAGGGAGTCGCCTAAGCCTACTCCCTAACCCTAATCCTAACCCTAATCCTAACCCTAACCATATCAAATAGTGACCAGGGTACGTTCCGGCAGTACTCTGGGGGACATATAGCCCGACCAGGCTGTGCGACGGATTGTCTATACGACGGATTGTCTGTGCGACGGATTGTAACCCTGGCAATACCGTTTCTTGGAGCTAGGCCAACCCCCACATGTACCCCCACATTAACCCCCACATGTACCCCCACATGTACCCAACTGTACCCCCACATTAACCAAACTCACGACATGGATGTGTAAACGCTACTTCACCGTACTTACTACTTGTATCGAACTTCTTTTCTTGCTTTGCTATTACTCATTAGTATTAGGACCTGCAATTTATACCTTAATTTACAGTATTATAGGTCTTACCTGTAATATAGCTCTAGTAATATAGACCTTGTGCTGTGGCAATTAGAGTTACTTGTAAGTTGTAAACTTTGAAAGGTGGACACAAAAAATCGCAATGGCTGCCGCTACCGCCCACCAAGGAGCTACTTGCCGCCCACCACACGAAAACAATAATAACTCAGCCACCACGAGAACTCGACTGACGCAGCACGCGCGCCACCACGCGCTAGCGCATGCGCGTCGATCACCCCAGCAGCCATTGTAGGTCTGCTAGATCGGCGTTATTTTTACACAAGTTATTTTCTTGTTGTTTTTATGTGGTAGTTAGCCGTCATTTCTATTAGAGGGGGATTTATAACACATTTGGTTTGTATCCAAGTTAGCGGTTTAATGCGAGTTAAGTTTATATTTTCTTACAATTGACCCTAAGGCTAAAATGTCAATGTCAATGAGATTTTGTGCCTGGTGAAGGCAAAGTACAATGCTTATTAGCGTACCACTACATGTATACGAGCTGCTGCTCTAGCAAGCAAATACTTCTATTTTTATTTATTTAATTATTTTGTTAACTATATCCATATACAGTTAATATATATATATACAGTTATATTACCCAACAAGAGTAGGGTTGGGTTACATTTTTGTATCTCTTGTTGGGTTACATTTTTGACTTTTGTAGTCCTATCTCTTGTTGGGTTACCTGGTACATTATTCAATTTATTGTATCTAGCGATACAGGTAATGTATTCAACTTCTAATTTTCTATGCTAGACCTAGGGTCATTTATATATTATACTTATAAGCCTACTACTAGTACTAGGGTCATTGATATCACAGGCACTTTTATGTGGGCAGTTAAACATTTGTGCATCAATCTTTGATATAAGGAAAGTCTGTGCATCAGTGGGTGATACACAGAAATCTGTGCATCACTTCGTGATATAAGGTGCCTAAAGTGGATTTGCACCCATTTATATATTATACTTATAAGCCTACTACTAGTACTAGGGTCATTGATATCACAGGCACTTGGAGCATTTCAATAAAATATAATGCTAAATAAATACGAAATCTATTTACTACCAAAGTCTTAATGTTTCTCTACTTCTTTTACCTATTATTGCCGACAATTTCCTTGAAATTTCGTTCAAATGCTCATCTGCAACACACGCTAGCTGCTGCACACTGACACATAAATTATATAGGCAGTGGCTACGGGTACGGTAGCCGTATCTTAATGTCTCGAGGCTACAGGTACGGGAGTCCATTTGCTTTCATACTTAACGAGATAAAGATGGCGGTGGTGGCGCCAGATTTCGAAATAACGCCTTGCGAAATAAATTCACGATTTGAGAGTTTAGATGAGCTAGAATCCTAACCCTAACCATAAACCTAACCCTAAACCTAATCCTAACCCTAACCCTAACCCTAACCCTAAACCTAATCCTAACCCTAACCCTAACCCTAACGCCAAAAAGGGGCTTCAAAGACCGACGGCTACCGTACCTCTGGCCACTGCGAATTATATATATATATACGGTAACTATAATCCATTGAAAACAGTGCGCAATAACAATGGAATGCACTGTTTCATGAGTCAATGTCATGGATTTGTAATGTGAGTAAAACATTCATGTATGCCATTGGCATTTACTAATGCTGATAGGGTCTATGTCCCCCAGGGTACTATCGGAGGGTACCCTGGGTACGGTTCGATATATCAGAAAATACCTCGGTGTACTATACGATATGTCGCTGCGTACCCTGCATTGTCCCACCGTACCCTGACTTTATCAGACGTATTTCTAATGTTGCAAAACTAAAATATAAAAGCTAGCTCAGCCTCTTTAATTAAAAAAAGGAAAAAATAAAAATATAGTCAAACATAGCATACATTTTTATTAGATTGCCTTGTTTTGAGGTTTCTTCTATGTGATGTGGTAACTTGACAGAGTGTATGTATTATGACATCAGTTGGCTGAAAGTCAGGGTACGGTGGGACAATGGAGGGTATGCAGCAACATATCGTATAGTACCCCGAAGTACTTTCCGATATATCGAACCGTACCCAGGGTACTAGTGATGTCCCGATGATCGATTATAATCGAAAATCTATTGATTATAGTCTCAAATTCGATAATCGATTATAAAAACAAATAATCGATTATCGGAAATACCAAAACATCTGCTGGTAGCGAAGTAGAAGTGCATCAGTGTGTAGTCCAGAGGACACCTTCATGAATCACTGTTAACATAGGTCCTGACTAATTGCAGAGCTATACTAGTGTACTTATAGACATGGACAAATTAGACAGTGTCTTTGTTTTGGTTTGACACTGTCCCACAGATGTTATACGTAGATGAGATTCTATTCTCTAGCTGTATTGTTTGTTACATTGTGTTGGAGATGATATTCTATTGGCAGGACATTAACTCGGCTATACAGCCTACACTATTAGAACACAAACAACATACTTACTATAATAAAGAACAAGTCTTGATCACGTGTGTTTAAAAACTTAATGTTTTAATAAAGGCATTTAAACCATTTCTTTTTAAATTGATTAAATACTGTATAGGAACAGACATTGATATACATACAGAAACCTTCACAGAGTTAATACATATGATCATAAAATATGATAATATTGAAGGCTATATATATATAGTTGTATATATATACAAAGTAAGATTAAATTAAATCTATGCTATTATTAACCGATTATCCGATTATAATCGATTATCGATCGGTTAAAGGAAACCGATAATCGATTGTAAAATTCCAGCCGATTTCCATCACTACAGGGTACCCTCCGATATTACCCTGGGGGACATAGACCCTATCAGCTTTACTAACCATGCATGTTGGCCTACATGTTTATTTACTACTACTATGTGCTATATACTTCACTACGTACTATCACTGTGTCATGCTATGTATAGTAATACACTACGGAAGTGAAGTGTAGTGGAGTGAATTACTACTAAGGCTGCGTATGAAAATTCAGACGTCTCTATTTCAATTGTGAATTGTGCTATCACATTTAATTAACACCCTGGTGTTGCCTAATTATAGTAACTAATGGATTAATAAAGTAACAGTTTTCAGTTCCAGCTCTGCAACTTAAGCACGGATAGTCGGACACCTTAAAGTAATCTGATCGAAGGCAGTAAGGATAACTGTAACTGGACAACTAAAACGTAACGATGCCTTCATCAGAAGCAAACGTCAACTTGTTAAGTACGGTTACACAGGTACAAGGTATGCCAATTGTATGTCTTAGCCATTTCACACGAGAATACAAATTATCAGTAAGCAGTGGCGTAGTTAGGGGGAAGGGCAATGGGGCCATGGCTCCTTTGTGGATCCGAAAGAAAAAATTACAAAAATAAGTAAGAAATGTTCTACTCAAATGAGAATTGTTGTAGTCAGAATGAAGGCTGTACATGTACTCAAAAGTGCCTCAAATGCCATCTCCTGTGATCTACATTTTCAAAATTTTCTGGGGAGGACCCTCATACCTGGATCCTGGATCTGTCACTGAACAGTCACATATATCTTGGGAGCAGAGAACAACGAACAAAATATTGCCTTTTTGCATGGCGTCCAAAACAAAGATTGCAGAGCTGAGAGGTGGGGGAACGTAGGGTGTGGAGACGGAGGCGGAGGAACCATTAAAATATTAAGTCATCCACTATTTTGCGCAGTTTGCTGTTTTTGCCCCCCCCCCTGTTAAGTAGGCCCTGGCTACGACACTGTCAGTAAGCATAGTTATTGTAAATAAGAAATTAATTAAAGCAGGCTCCACTTTTTCGCGAGGCCGATCAGCCTAAGCCGTGTAAACAGCCCTGTCTCTGGTGTCCCTGGGGCTTTTTTTCGGGCCCCCAAATTTTGAGATTCGTAGAATCGAAAACGAAAGTCAAATCGAGAAAGAACACCGGTAGTGTTGTAATAAATTCCGGGGAATACTTTTTCTAAAACACCGGGCGTCTTAATTAATATCAAAAAGAGAGCAATTAATATATCATCATAAGAGTAGTCCATGTACCTGGTCACCCAAGTATTTTATCATGATGTTGAAAATATTTCCACAAATTCATATTCCAAATCAAACCGAATCGAAAACCAAAGTCGAATCGAGAATGAACACCGGTTGCTATAAATTCATATACGTACCAGAAAATAAACATTAACATTAAGGTGGCAACATAATTCCTGACAAATGCTCATATTAGTATCAACCTTTAACCTAACGTTCATTTAGAAGAGGCTATGGTGCTCCTCTGTCTTGCCACATAGCTGTTAATAAACAGTATGTCCCTCTTTTATCCTTTCTGGAGGTTGTTCGGCCACACATGCGATTATTTTCGTGCATGAAATATAAATAAATGAAATATTTTAATAATAAATAAAATAATTTTCCAGTGGAAATAAATAATTTCCCATTCCCAGCTTGCAACTATAGCGCATGTGATCGGTGCTGAACGTTGCGATAGAATGCAGCAAATGTTCTACTGATTCTGCAGCATGGCAAACAAAATTGGAAATGGCAGAGAGGCACTGACGACGATGCCACATTCACATCTCTTACGCACAAGTTACTGCAACTGACAGAGTGTCTGCCTTCATTAGACATGACCGTGCTTGAACACAGAGCGGTGGAGCCTATGGTATGTCGCCAGTTTGTATAATGCATCAAGGAAATAAATATGGGGCTGTAAGAGCTGTGGTTCCCAAACCGCGAGAGGCGCAGTGTGCGGCGCGAGAAGATGGCAAGTGTGGCGGGAAGATTCAAAGCAAATCCAAGAAACATTTAAACATTCAGAGAAACATTTTCAATAAATTTAACTGCCAAAAATAAGTATGTTTAGGTCGTTTATTACTTATTTATTTGTTACATGTGATCTAATATGATGAATATATATATATATATATAATATGTGTGTGTGTATTATAGAACCCCGTAGAATTTCCAGAAGTTTGAAAATTTAAAAGCCTCTATCACGTCACCTTGAGCTCGTCTATATCTTATGTATATTTTGGTCATGAATCGTGTGTTTATGTATAGCTGCATTAATTTGTGTTATACTTTCTGCATGTTCCATAATTATATTATAACGTGGTTGTGTTCTATGTTATAAATCAAGCACTGCTAGGAGTTTTCCTTTAATGTGTTTCTTAGCAATAAAAAATTCGTTGAGCCGCAAGCAAATTCTGAAAGTGTGGCTCAGTGAAAATAGTTTGTAATAGTTTGTAATATTGGAACGACTGTGTTAGAGTATATGTGACCTTTTATAATGATTCGCTATGCTTGTTCAGTGGACCGAAGTTTAAGATTGCAAACATGTCTTCTTAGTAGAATACTATTGTATAAAATGGCTGTATAATGTTGTTGTCTCATGTGCATATCAGGTGCAATCTTCGGCTGTGACGTTGTGGAATAAAGCTGTGACCAGCCAAAGCAAGGGAGTGTTGTCACCACGTCAGCGTGCAATGTGTACGTACGAAAAGAATTGTAATATTGTAATCTCTTTGAGTATCGTGGAAAAAATGTCGTTAATGAGCAAATGTAGTGGTTGAAATTATGTAAATCTTTTGCTAAATGCATAATTGTCAACTTCATTTCTCTGCCATCTCTTTTGTTAAGATGATTTACCATTTGTTGTAGTACGGCACATATCCTGTCAACTGATCTTTGTAGCAACTGGAAGAATTTCCAAGCCCGAAGTATACAAAAAACAAGCAATGGTAGGTACACCCAGTACCAACTGAATGTTCGTGTACTCATGTGCACACACACACACACACTCGGGCACGCATGCAGGTGCACTCATGCACAAACGCACACACACTCGGGCAAGCATGAACGTGCACTCGTGCACAATAAACGCACACAGTCACTCGGGCACGCATGCAGGTGCACTCACACAACAACGCACAACATGCACTCATGCACATCACTCACGCACAAACTCACATACACTCGGCATGCATGCACGTACCTGCACGCACGCACAAACGCACAACCATGCACTTATGTACAAACGCACACCCATGCATGCATGCACGCACACGGCACACACGCACACGGCCCACGCTCACACGCACACACGCACACACGCGCACACACGCACACACGCACACGCACACGCACACGCACACGCACACACACACATCACACACACACACACACACACACACACACACACACCACACACACACACACACACACACAACATACACACACAAACAAACACACACACACACACACACACACACACACACACACACACATACACATACACACACGCTCATACACACCTGCACTAGCTAAATTTTGATGTGTTGCTGCAATATGCTTTGCAACGCAGCGCATTGTTTTACGTGATTGTGAATCACTTTTAATCAATCAAAGTTACTGATTGATCAAGATGGATTGCACTAATGCATGATTCTTGCTCTTATCTAAATCACAATACAGCCTATAGCCTGTACGAGGCTTTGATTGGCTCAACAATGTAAGGTCTATTAAATTGGTTTTCGTCTAATGATTATATCGTGCAGTTTGCATGTATGCCATTAACATTACTACTACTACCCCCCTACTACTATATTACCAACTATATTACTACTATGTACCCAGTACTACATACCCATTGCTACTACTATATTCCGAACAAGTGCTCTTCTGTAAAGTATATCGCATTCTTTCCCTGCTTATAGGTGGCACTAAAGTCTGGACGTGCTTGGATGGTACGTGTTTTGCGCATTCGTATCTCCTTAATTGCTATTTGAATCTGCCAACATGTTATCGTTACTGCAATCATCATGAATTTGTGAGATCTTTTATTCGCGATAAGGACAAGGCTTCCTCTGGATGTTTTTAGTTGAGTTTGACCCAAGACCTGCCACCAACGTTATTTTTAGCCATCAATGAAAACCTATAGCCACAGTTTACTTTATCGTATGTGCTAAACAAGGCATAAACAGGTGATGGGTATGACAAAAAAGTTGTAAGCAACATTTTTACGTCACGACACTAAAATTGACGATTTCATTACTTCAATCGAAATTTTGTGAGCAGTTAAACCATCGCCATTTGTATTCGCCACTTAGTAGTAGAATCGTCATAGTATTTATTTATCGCATTTGCGAAGGCGGCGAACGCCAGCGGTAGTCCTACATATTAGTTATTTTATTACAGACTGTGGAAATCCAGCGTTGCTGAGAGTGCCTTCATTCTGGCTTCAGGGGTAAGCCTTACGAACCTGCTGTACGGTGGATATATGTATGCCGAGTTAGACAGATACAAAAGAAGCCATTCTTATACGAGTCCCACCCACTCCGTGTAGATATATAATCCTGATCAACAACTATTTCTGGCAGTGTTGGTAATTCTGCAATCACAGCTCTCTCTCTCTCTCTCTCTCTCTCTCTCTCTCTCTCTCTCTTCTCTCTCGCGCTCTCTCTCTCTCTCTCTCTCTCTCTCTCTCTCGCTCTCTTCCTTCCCCCCTCTCTCTCTATCTTTCTCCCTTTCTCTCTCCTTCTCTCTCTCTCTCTTCCGCTCTCTCTCTCACGATGTGCGAGCGTGCGTGCGTGGGTTGCGCGCAGGCTGCGTGCAATGTGTGCAGACAATCTTGCAGAAGCCCACCTACATATCATATGTGGACAGTGCTGCACACTCATATAGACTCACACTATATAATTATATGTATATAAAAATTAGAAGTAAAAACACACAAACACCGATGTAGATGTGAAAATAAATGTAGAGAAATAGAATAAGGTTTTAAATTTTAAATTAAAATTGAACACCCTATTCGTTTTTTCTACATATCTCATATACAGGGGTCATATATATATAAATATATACTGGAGGTCTTGCACACATCACCCACGCCATTAAGTTATATACAATCCTGTCTACAAGGTTCACCTAAATCTTATGTAAACTGTTCAGCACAACCAGGGCCGTAGCCTGCCAGAGAGGAGGGGGCAAGGGGGCAGCTGCCCCCCTAGATTTTAAAGCAAAAAAAATAAAAAATTGTTCTACTAAAAGAGAATTGTGTTCAGAATGAAGGCTGTACATGTACTCAAAAGTGCCTCAAATACCATTTCCTGCGATCTACATTTTCAAATTAACTGTTTCTTCTAGACCGCTGACAGAAACGCTGCGTAGTTACCTGAATGAAAAATCGCAGCAGATTTCCTCATAACAATACAAAACCAAGTGATGTCGACGGTCTAGGAGAAATTGTTAATGTTACGACTAATGTTGACTAATTTTGTTTCTGACAACGGGCTCCAGGTGTGTAACACAATCAGGTGTGTAACGTAATCATATTTGTAATTAACACAAAGAGTGTGTAACACAATACTGTGTGTAATACAATAATGTGTGTAACACAATAATGCGTGTTTAAGCAAGCTCCGCGCTTTCCTCTCCAGGTTCTCGGTCTAGCATGTGTGAGGTAGTCACCTTAAGGGTAGTGTATGGTCACGTCGACAGATAACACGAACACTGTATTATAAAAGCTACGTACTCTCCGTGCGTTCTATTACACCACAGAATATTCGTCACAGCTAGGTGCCTTGCACTTTAACAGCCTAAACAAACAACTCTACGATACTAAACAGATGTCTACAAACACCGACCGAATACGTAAACGAATACAAGTATAACCTCGTACCTTAAAACGTGAATCGCGAAGTAGCTCGGCGAAGTGAAGGTGGTGGACAGACGTCGTATAGAGGGAATAGGTGTAGGAAACCAAGGAAAGATCACGAGCTCGGACAAACTGGACTATGCGGTTGAAAGGAAGAAGGCCGAGTCTCCCTTTAGATTGTAGTTTCGCATCCACAGATGCGACTCTTGACTAATAGGTGTCCTCGGATAATATAGTGCGTTGTTTGTGGTGATTGCTTAATTTTGGTCAGTATGAAACTCGTAACTATCGTACACCCCTTTATGGCGATTGCTTACGCCGTGCGGCTTCACCGTGTGCTAGCTCATGGAAAATTATGGGAAATTATAAATGCAAATAATATCTGGAGAAGCCTGCGCTGTGCTACACGTGTAACACAATGAAGTGGTTAATAATGTTCATTAGCGACACATAAGTGCATTAATTGCTGTGCTACATAGCTAGAGTGTTTTCAGGCGCTTGAGAAACTCTTTGCACACATAATCAACGGTGCTGATGGAGACAGCGATGTCAGCAGTCAGAAGATGGAGGTTGAGAAGGAGATCTTTCGCGTTTATGCATACAAGGCAGAAGCTGTAAGTTAAAAAGCTACCAGTAGTATATAACCGACCACGGTGAGAAACTGCTGTATTGTAAGCAATGCATAAAAGTCGTTCGGAAATATTCATTCCATTGCCTATATTATTAGTAGACGCATGGTTTTATAGTTGCTATGAAAGTTATGCATATTCCAAGAACCGAATCAATTTATATTTGCCTGCATCTTGTTATTATGTCGAAGCTGTGTCACAGTGTATAATCACGTGGATAACACTCCAAGGAATTGCACCACTGGTAGATCTATTGTGTTGCTTTAGGCGTTTGCACAAGAGAAATGGGAAGAGGCATCAAAATACTCAAAGGCAGCAAAGGACATGCTCTTGCGACTCCCCAAAGAGGTACTTATATAAATACTACCAGTTTATTGATTAATTATAGCATCTGGGAAAGGGTGCAATGGTGCTGTAATATATTAATGTAGGATATATATAGCATCTCTATTTTTCCCGGATTTATGCGTGCCGGCACTTTTCTTTTACCTAAATGTGACAGCATATTAATATACTTGATATCTATTTTTCATTGCTTCAGTTTTCAATTTTCGTCTCGATGTTGTAGACAACATGTCAAAATGCACACGATACCCGTGATCGTTGTGCCAATGTGTTGTCCGTAGCACGCATCTGTCGTGTTTTACTGTTGTATGTTTTTGAATGTTGTACGTTGTAAACGTGAAGTCCATGTACAGGGTGAGGTTATTGTCAGGCTATTAGCATATAAACTAGAGCATAATCAGCAGGTTATTAAATCAGATGTCCTCAACAAGTGTATGAAGGTTATACGTTGTAGCATACTGTCAAACATGTACAGAATATTAGTTTTCTTATTTTTCTTCTTATTACTATTATTATTAAATCGTTATTGCATGTAATTCAAATTCAATGCATTTACTGAAGACAGCAGGCCTATGTATGTACGTGTGCATGGGTGTGTGTGTGTGTGTGTGTGTGTGTGTGTGTGTGTGTG